CCCCCCCCAACCCCCACAGTCTTCCAGCCCCAGGTATGTAATTCCTCAGGGAGTTCCACGAAAACCGTGCGGCGAATCCCAGCAGACGGAGCGCAGGGACTCCCTGTATGGATGGGAACCTGCTGGCTGCCCGGCCCAGACTCACAGGAAGCCGAGGACCTGGCCACCAACCTGGAGGTCTGCGGCAATCCGGCGACACGGGTCATCCACACAATGGCTTTGTTTTTCTGCCTCATCGCCATGGAGACCGGAAATGTACACACAAATGGCCCAATTCTGTCAGCGTCCCCAAATAGGGGCTCATTGTCTTTGATTTCAGGACTAAATACCAGATAAAAAGACAGATAACTTTCTTTTTAGACGTCAGTGTGTTTATTTGCCCTTGTCTTCCTCCGTATAGACCACTGTGACGGAATGTCAGCATCCAAGACAAAAGGAACCAAAGAATAATTTCAACCATTTAAGAAGGATTGTGGTTTGTTTCATTTCAATTATAATACTCTATATTCTGGCTTTTCATTCCGTTTCAAAAGTTAACATCTAAATCTAAAACTGCAGTTTGCAAGCATGTGAATAGTCTGGAAGGGAGTGCAAATCCATAGCAACTCGTTCACCTTGATCCCAGTGGTGAATACATTTTCAAACTGAATTAGAAGTTGAATCTCTGTAGAAACTTTGCATTCAATGCTCTGAATTCTGAATCTGTAGTTTTAAAGCCCATTACACTGTAAGCCACATTTCATCCGTGTTCCATAACTGCTCATCCAGTATAGAGGCACATGGATACTGGCACCCATCCCAGGAACTGTAAAGTTAAATTTAAAAGTAAATTCATTTTACAAACCCAGTTACTTCCTTCCATTCATCTTCCCATTACTCATCCAGTACAGAGTCAGGAAGCCTAAGGCAGAGGGCCAGCCCATCTTAAGGCACACACACACAGACTCACACATATTATGGGCAAATCAGAGACACTAGTTCTCAAGTGGCATGTGTCTGGACAGTAGTATGAAACCAGAGTTCCCGGGGGAAAATGACCACACCACAAAGAGAGCATGCAAACTCCACATATGCAGAGTACGGACAGCATTCAAAACCCCCAGCCTTGCAGTTGACAGCTGACAGTGCCACCCAAACTCAATTGCTTTTGGCGCTAAATATCCCTTTAAATGCCAGCAGAATTATTGGCCATCAGGTCTCAGCTGTATGACATGAGAAGAGTCATGAAAATCTGGGAAAAAATGAGATGAAAACTGCAGAGAAAAAGTTAAAGATGTTACTGTATAAACCAGTTTAATCTGGAAATGATCAGACAAAGGGGAATCCAATCCCTGCTGTTGGCTTCTGTTACCTGTGATGACGTGGACACAAAGCAGTGGGCGTCATCTCCTGCCAGGTGGGCGGGGAAATGGACAGAACGGGGCGGGCACTGTGCAGGGGCGGAGCCACTCCTGCCATAGAAGGATGACTGGATGCTGATGGTGGTACGGGGAGGACAGCTGACGAAGAAGTAGTCACCATCGCAGGCCTGCGCCGTGAAGTTCTGCAGTACTTTGGACAGGAAGCCTGCAGGGTGATAACATGGACATGGAGCCCAGGGACATGAGTAATGGTGAGACAGGAAAAAAGGCCTGAAAAGTGAGGCCGGCCAGGATGACTATGTGCTATAAATACCAATATACTGTCTAATGTCTAATGTAGCTGGGGGCCGGTGGTGAAACTTGCCAGCACTTATTAGTGGGATAATGTTGCATTGTTTTTTTATTCTGTGAAAAATGATAGATCAATCTGCTGGTCAGATTTAATAAGAATCATAGACATGTTGTGGGTCATATAAGTAAAATATTTTTAAAAGGCTGAGTCCCGTTTTGATCGAGATCGATCCCCCTAGTAACTAACAAATAACTTAACAAAACAACTTGTTCATCCTCCATTGTTTTGGGGTGGTGGTGTAGTTTCAAATTATGGGAATTTTAACCGACAAGCTTTTTGCTTCTCCCATCCTTTGCATGATGGACACAGTTTTGTTGTGCAGTGTGAAAGCAATACAAGACGGCCCAAGAACAGGGACTAGGTTCAGGAACTGCGGTGGGAAAGTGCCCGGTCACCACCTGGTTGGTTCCTGATGGGACGAGCTGGGCAGTCATCAGCAGCCCATTGGAATCCTGCTTCCTGTGAACCCGTAGCCTGTCTTCTGGCTTCCCTCTTTACGCTCTGTCACCTCCCTTCTTAGCCACCCAAATGTTCCCATACATTCACTGTTTTTCACAAGTAAAATTAAGACAAATGATATCTCCGTAGAATGAAAAAAAGAAATCTCCTTTACAGAGTTCTGCCATCTTGCTCGACACATATTGTGATTCATGAAGCAGGACGACAGCCTCTCACCCGGATAAGAGGCAGCCCTGGCTGTAATTGCTGAAACAACCTCAAACCTCTGAAAGATCACCACCCACATCACCGACATAAACTGCGCATGCCGACACCGCCCCGGCAACACTAGCTGGGATTCAGGCCAAAATTCTGCTCTGGCTGAGTGTTCAACAAAACATCTGTATAAAAGACAGGGTACATGTATAAGACTTGTTTTTATAAGCCCTAGGGGTGTAAATGTTCTAGGGGGGGGGGGGGAAGTCAGGTGAACAGTCCATTCAGTGTCCTGCACCAGTCCAGACGTGTGAAATTTGTTCCCTGAACACACACCCAGTTGTAGCCCCTTCCCAACGATGCCTGTTTTTCTCCCCTGCATTTCCCTTGTGCTGAAGCCGTATCACCTACATTTTGTTTTCATTCCTCTCCATGGAGTTCCGAAACCCAAACAAAGTCCCTGTTCCATCCTGGCACCTCAGTGGCTTGTGGCTCTGTCTTATTTTTAAACCTGAACACCTTAAACAACAAGCGTTCCAATCTCCTTGTGGGCGTTCAGCATGGCACGCAATGTGGTCCGTTTGAATTTCTTGTGATTTGATGAGGGAGAGAGAGACGGGACAGGCGGGGTATCAAGGCGATATTTTTTCAACTCAACAAGGTGGTTCAGAAGAGTATGCCCTGTCAAGATGCTTGGAAAAACATTAAAGGGTCTGTTTGGCCGCATTTGATTAGGATTGTTGTGCTGGTACAAGTCCTGACAAATGACTTAACTCCCTTATATGGACCCGCTCCCCCCATTCAGAAGAATCCTGACTTCTCTGGCGGCTCCACACCTTTGAGGGAAACCTCCGGGAGCTGTCAGCCAGGGGAAGGCAACCATCACGAGGGCATGGCAGGTGCAAAAAATTCCTCCATGTCAAAATAAGAGAAAAAATATGACCAGCCTTTTCCTTTGGCTTTCGGAGTCATTTTTTCTCTTTCCTTGATAGCTTAGTCACTTCCTGGGATCCAGCACAATTAATTTGCTTATTTAACAGCCTTGCTGTATTATAACAAAATAAAAGACTCTCAGGTGTTGGGATTTTGTGCAAACGGAGATGACCTGAAGGTAAACATCATAGGAGAACTGGTCGGGTCCCGCTTCCGTGAACCGCTGCACAATGGAAGCAGACTTCAGGGCACCTGTAGCGATAACTCAGATGCAAAATGTCACTCGTGGTTTGTTTGTTTTTCTGAAGTTTAAGCGACAGCACTTGCCAACCCCAGACAGGAAGACCACGGGAAGGTGGAGTAAAACAGGGCAAGATATTTTAGTCACACTTGATCATGTTGAAGAGAGAAAATCTTGTCACATGATTAAAGCGAGCCCCTGATAAAGGATGAACCTTTAGTTTAATGTCTGGTGTCCATGCTTCTTGGAGTCTGGACCAGAGAAAATCCTATTTTTACTCAAGATGTCCAAAAGTATCAGCAGACTCCCTGGATCCTTTTACACATATTTAGCAGATGCTCTTGTAGAGAGCAACATACAAACGAAGAAAACTTGGGATCAGAGTGTAGGGTCAGCCATCATCCGGAAGCAAATGAGGTTAAGGGCCAGACGCAGGATTCAAACCCACAACCATCTAGACAAGGGGACAAACCCAAACTCACTGAGCTACACACTGGTTTGAGTTGCTCAATTCATTATTTTTATGTTCCCCTTGTTCTTTTGAACAACATGGGAAAGAAGAATAGAGCTTCCTTTTCTTAACCAAGCAAAATTTTTGCCTGGTGGGGCACGGAGAAATAGTTAAATAGTTAATACTAATTCCACAGAGGTCACCCACACAGCTGAAATGCTGGACAAACACTAGAGGTGCCAGGAGTGGAGAAGTTTCTAAACAAATGATAAGATGCTACAACATTTGCTGATAAGAGCCTTTGCTATTGGATGATTAGCACTGTTTGATCTGATAATGAAATGGCCCAGTGTTTCCTCATGGGCAACTGGGGGTCATACATTCATGTCACACATCTAGTTACTTGACAAGGTCCAGATTACTATTGGCGCGTTTCCACTGGCGTACAGGAACCGAGGCGCACCCGAGTCGTACTAGTCAAAGCTGCTTTAGTTTTCAACTGCAGAAGGGTCTGCTCAGTAAAGACGTTGTCATGTTTGGAGAGTGGCAATGATGTAAAACCAAAGAGACACCTATTCACTGTTCACACGGCGTACATCATGATTTACTATGTGCTGATTTCCTAATATTCTAGCACATCTGTGATAATCCCTGTGGTATGCATGCATCAAACGCCAGCGGAATTAGCATTTGATTGTGTAAATTTGCACTACAAATTCATTCCATTTAGCTGTTCTATACTGCTTTTCCATGCAGGAGGTTGGAAATTTTCAAATTCTGAGTTACAGGGAATCAATACATTGCGATGTACAATACTACTAATAAAGAGTATTGTGTAGAATATAACCTTTTTTCTTCAGATAACCCATGTGCGGAACACCAGTAATTTCGACCAATCAGATGGTAGTGATGTAACCGGCTCGGTTTAGTCCCACTTTCCTCCCTGCTAGTTAGCTGGGCCATGTCAGCGTGGGTACAGCTTATGTATGGCTTACATGCTTTAAAATGGAAAACCGTCAGTTTGCGGGACGGCTCGGTTGTTGGTGGCAGTGGAAAAGCTACATATGATGGGTTAGCAAGCAGTCTTCCAGGATTCAAATTTCCAGCTAGTTAGCTGTTTGAACCTACTTTGCTACAAACCAAACTAACTTAACTAACCATAACAGAACTGTGTAACAGCTTATATTTTGGCAAGTCCACAAATTAGCTAAAAACAGTTAAGTGGTTACTATGTACTACATGAGAACTATTGGGGATAAAATACAATGATGACAAAAATAAATATGAGTATAAATGAATATATATTAATAAAGAACTAAATTATTCAAAGCCCTCTGTCATCCATCAATCTCCCACTCCTCTTTATCTAGTTCACAGGTACAGTGACCCTGAAACCTGTCCCAAGAGGCACCAGGCCTGGGGCAATGGACACCCCAGATGGAATGCCAGTCCATTACAGGAATACATTTACACATTCTAGAAAATTATATAGGCAGCAATCCAGGCAAAACTGGATTTTGTTTTTGGACTTCAGGAGGAATCCAGAATTACCAGCAGGAACCCACAGCTCAAACCCACGGCCACTGCAAGTAATCCATATAACAGGAAATAATATTACAAAGATGAACCCCTGATTACACTAACTGTTGCAAGTCAAGGTTAGTAACTGCAGAAAATGGACGGAGGGATGGATGGAATCACAACAGAAGGCATTAATTCAAAATTCTTGTTGCTAGTTGTTTTTTCAACTTTGTACAAGTAAAATAAAACACCACCTTGTGGACTATCATGATTGATTTTCAGTGTTAATTTCTTCAACAAGCAATGGCCTTTGACTGTAGAATCATGGTCAAGAGGAACAATTGGTTTTGCCAACTGGTAATATACAGAAAAGTTAAAATGGAATAAATGTCGCCCTCTATTGCAGTGTAACAACATGTTTTTTTAACAGGTTTGCTGGGACAACAATTTGTCAAAGGTTATTTAGAAAACACAGATGTTTTCAGCATATCTCCTGCTCAATATTACTAAAACACATAAAATATAAATTTAAAACATAATTCTAATAAAATCCATTTTCATGTGATATTTTAAAATAAAGTAATTATTTTTATGAGTGCACTTACATGCACTCTAGGTGGATATAATATGTAATATTTCTCATTCTTTTGTTGTTATACCATTTTCAGGAGCATTCAGTCTTACCATCTGTAAAAAATGGTACGAATGTCATTCCAAATGACATGAAACGAACATGAATACAAAATGCACATTTATATAAAACTGATGCATGTTTTTAAAAGAGTTGCAAATTGCTCATCTTGCCAAGCCTCATCTGTCACTGACTCTTATACATGACATGCTTACAGGTTTTTGCCACACTTTGACTTCCTCTTTGGCAAAGCCACACACAGACAGGAAAACAACAAACTCAGGCGCCTATGACACGCCTCCTTCAGTCACACTCCAGCGTCTAGGACACGCCCCCTTCAGTTACACTCCGGCGCCTAGGACACACCCCCCTCAGTCACAGACGCGTGCCAGGGCAGGGTCATCCTTCCATCAGGTGAGCCA